GCCTGGCCCGTGTACGGGGTCTCCCGCGCTGCCCCCTGCCAATGCCGGCATCCATCCTGTTCGCAGCTGGAGTTGATGACCGGGTGGATTTAGGCGAAATTGTGAAATAGTCCCTACTACTGGGGAAATCTCTGTTCTCATAAGCACGAGACGGTGATACATAAGATTCAACAATGGGCAAACTAGAGCCCTGCCGCACACTGCAAACAGAAGTCAAACTGTTCAGAGCATAGACGAAACACTCCTTGTCCGTTGCGCTGCACTCTGGTTTATGGTAGGCCAAATTCACTGGAATGCTCAGCTAGAAATTTCCAGAGCGCGTTGTGCCAGAGCACGAGAAAATGTGTCATCTTTCTGGCAGGAGTTTCATTGCGAAATTAGCCCCTACTGCATAGTATGGTGTACTATAAAGGACACCTATCTGTTATCGTCGTGCGTGTGGGGAGCTCCGTCGTGCCTGTGAGCAGGTCCGTCGTGTTTGTGAGCAGGTCCGTCGTGTTTGTGGAGAGGTCCGTCGTGCGTGTGAGTAAAACCGTCGTGCCTAGCCTGTGAGCAGGTCCGTCGTGTTTGTGAGCAGACCGTCCTGCGTGTGAGTAAAACCGTCGTGCCTGTGAGCAGGTCCGTCGTGTTTGTGAGCAGAGCGTCGTACGTGTGAGTAAAACCGTCGTGCCTGTGAGCAAGTCCGTCGTGTTTGTGAGCAGACCGTCGTGCGTGTGAGTAAAACCGTCGTGCGTGTGAGTAAAACCGTCGTGTTTGTGGGTAAAACCGTCGTGCCTGTGAGTAAAACTGTCGTGCGTGTGAGTAAAACCGTCGTGTTTGTGAGTAAAACCGTCGTGCGTGTGAGTAAAACCGTCGTGTTTGTGGGTTAAACCGTCGTGTTTGTGAGTAAAACCGTCGTGCGTGTGAGTAAAACCGTCGCGCCTATGAGGTGCCATGTGTAAATAAATTATTTAACTAAATTATTTATATATATTTCATTATTTATTATATAATTCAGTTTTCCGGACAATTATATGTAAATAATTGTTTGGCAGTTTGCATTATATGTAATATTGATATATATAATTTTGTTTGCAACCTAATTATTTACATATAATTTTGGGCAAACTAGAATTTGTTATATATAATTTATTTGCAAACTTTTTATTGATATTTAATTTTTGCACACGTTTTTATTTATTTATAATTTATTTGCAACCTTTTTATTTATATATAATTTGTGTGCACTTTATTTATTTATATACATGTATAATAATAGCCCCACCAGTACTAGAGGGTGCTAGGCGTAGTGTTTCTAAAGATTAAAACGAACTTGTGAAAATTGGTCAAAATTCAACATCTTACTTAAGAACTATTTATTTCTTTTGGATTGAGGCACTGCCCGTCGTACCCAGTAACTTCTCGCCCTTAATTAATTTCTGAATGTTGGAGGCGAAGGGGAGGTGGTGGGTTTATTTTCCATGTATAGCGGCTTCGAAAAGCTAAGCCGAAGTGAACTTTCTGGGCCTAATTAATGAACTTGACTTAATACACTGTATAGATATTGCTTCTTTTACCCCTTTGGGCGCGCGATCCATATCATTTTAGCGATATGAACAATTTCTCTGGCCTCAATATGTCACGTCCGCAAATAAGTGGGGCGGCCAGGTGTTCCCTGGCCGCGCCCACCGAGTAAGCTACTGTTTACCGCGCACACGTACCCCATGGCAACAACCAGCTGATTGAAGAAAACTACGTGACTGATCAACAGTGTGTGTCTGTGCCGAATGATGCATTTTATCTTGTAGTGATTAAATAAAATAATGCATTATATAATAAATAATGCATTATATAATAGATAATGAATTATATAATAAATAATGAATTATATAATAAGTAATGAATTATATAATAAATAATGCATTATATATAAATAAATAAAGTGTGCAAAAAATTATATTTAAATAATAAGGTACCAAATAAATCATATAACAAATAATTAAAGCGTGCAAAAATATATACATAAATAATGAGGTACCAAATAAATTATACATAAATAATAAGGTTGCAAAAAAAATCATATATATAAATAATGCAGTGGCAAATAAATGTATTTAAATATTATGCAAACTGCCAAACAGTTATTTACATATAATTGTCCGCAAAACTGAATTATATAATAAATAATGAATTATATAAAAATAATTTTGTTAAGTAATTTATTTACACATGGCGCCTCATAGGCACGACGGCTTTACTCACAGGCACGACGGTTTTACTCACAAACACGACGGTTTTACTCACAGGCACGACGGACTTGCTCACAGGCACGACAGTTTTACTCACACGTACGACGCTCTGCTCACAAACACGACGGACCTGCTCACAGGCACGACAGTTTTACTCACACGTACGACGCTCTGCTCACAAACACGACGGACCTGCTCACACGCACGACGGTTTTACTCACAGGCACGACGGTTTTACTCACAAACACGACGGTTTTACTCACAGGCACGACGGTTTTACTCACAGGCACGACGGACTTGCTCACAGGCACGACGGTTTTACTCACAGGCACGACGGACTTGCTCACAGGCACGACGGTTTTACTCACACGTACGACGCTCTGCTCACAAACACGACGGACCTGCTCACAGGCACGACGGTTTTACTCACAGGCACGACGGTCTGCTCACAAACATGACGGACCTGCTCATAGGCACGACGGTTTTACTCACACGCACGACGGACCTGCTCACAAACACGACGGACCTGCTCACAGGCACGACGGAGATCCCCACACGCACGACGGTCTGCTCACACGCACGACGGTCTGCTCACAAACACGACGGACCTGCTCACAGGCACGACGGAGCTCCCCACACGCACGACGATAACAGATAGGTGTCCTTTATAGTACACCATACTACTGGGAAAATCTCTGTTCTCATAAGCACGAGACGCTGATTCACAAGATTGAAGAATGGGCAAACTATAGAGCGCTGCGGCACACTGCAAACAGAAGTCAATAGAAGCGTACCCGCCACCACCATGCACCATTTGTTGTCGATTATTGATGCAAATATGGCATTAACCACGCCACCAAAAGGTCAGAATGGAGCTGAAAAGGGTGCTCCCCTGCATTGACATTCCCATAGAGACTAGTGCTAAATGTGCATACTTCAAATTTTCAAAATTCTTTTTAAAATATTCAGAACTCTCACAGGTATTTAAGCTGCACAGAAAAATGATGATCATCGTGTCAGCTTTCATTCACTTTTTATTTTTTGGTGGGTTGACCATTGACTTTTCGAGGAATTCTCACCCCAAGATGACGATCCCTAAGGGGCCGTTCACAATTATCAACATTTTCACAAGTGTACAAGAGGACACTTTTTCAAGACCCCCCCCCCCCCTCCCCCCTAAAAGTGTACGGAGAAAATGTTGATTTTTTTCACACAAGTCTATATATAGACACTTGCATGTGATTTAAAGGGTTTTTGTAACTTTTGTAGATCAAGTTTTTGGCCATGACATGAACCCCTATTCAGTGTGAACGAAGATGTATGTATTATAATTTACCTGTAGAAGTTTCAGCTTCATACAATGTAAGTCGTGAAGTTTTTGAGAAAAAAGTGAAAATCACAGAGCTATTTTTTTTTTCAGGAGAGTCGCGTAAACCCGTTGTACATAATTTTTTTCTCATAAGACGAAAAAATTTTGCGTGAAATTGTTTAACTTGTTTCTCAAAACTCCATGTATTTTGTTGGTCGGATTCTTGTGGACAATACATCCTTGTCGAATGAGGAATTTCAACAATTGATCCAAGTCAACAGCGCGGCTAGAATATTTATTGTCCGCCATTGCTAGTGCGGTGTTGTTCAACAGGTGTAGCGTGAATATCCGACTCCATGAAATGTGGACTCATTGGTAGTAGTGCGAACGCGTGAGTACAATACTATGCTTTTTTTAAGGATCGTTTGGGGAGAGTGACCTGTCACGTGCGAGGGATTAACCAATAAAAGGGGAAAAGGGGTCCGATTTTCATAGGAGTCGGATTTTCATGTGACACCGGCCGTTAAAAACACGCAGTGGATACGGACTATACATGTACATGTACAGTACATGTACATACAGTACATTTCCATGTACATGTGTAGGACAATGCTGTACACAATACGTTCATGGGATGCAATGCGGGGCCTGGCGCGGGGCGCGACCGGCTCGGCAAGTGCTCGATCGGCATCGGTTGCGGCTGTCGGCTGTGGCGACGGGCGAGAAAACATATCGACAGTTAAAAAAAAAAAGCGTACGGCGGCCATTAACTCCCTCCCCCCCCCATCGTATACGGATTATACGCTCGTGAAAATGTTGATAATTATGAACGGCCCCTAAGTAGCCATCTGGAACGATCCCTCCACAACTGACATCATGGCAAAATGGTGCCACTTTGAGCTCAATTGCATCCAAAATACTCAGAATTGAAAGCCCAATATGCCACAAATGAGACACATCCCTAGATTGATTTGAATCTTATATCCGTATTTTATTGAAACATGCGCCCAATTTATTATTATTTTTTAAAATAATTTTTACAGTTAATGTTAAAAAGGTCGGTTGTTACTCAGTAACTGAAGAATCAATTAATAGGGAAAAACACAAAATGAGCACATACGACACCAGGATGTTTCTTTTCTTACTATACAGGGTGAGTAAAAAACACGAAACCCTTATGTTGGGACCATTGTTTTAGTGAAGTTCTGCATGTAGCACTTCCAAAATCTAGGATATTAAAGCCCCTTGGTTGATAGAGGACTGATCTGAGTAGGCTCTGCACCGAGAGCAAAGGAAGGGAAAGAATCCTGCTGTAGGAAGCTGATCAACTGAGATCCCTTCCTTACTAGTGCTGGCTTCAGCACGGCTGCGTCTTCACTCATCTCTAAGCATTCCTTGGCAGGGGTATGTGACTGTGACGTTTCAATAGAAAGAGGACTACAACATCACTGCCTCCACAATAATAACATATGCATCTTTCTGTATCCTTCATTGTTATTCAATCCTAAAATTACTGTTTTTGTACATATCCTTTTTTTAATATTATGTATGACGAACACAACCAAAAACAATACTGTTTTTAATGTAATTGCAAAATTACAATTTAGGATAATGTAGGTTATGATCCTTCCAAACGTCGCATCGCACAATTGTTTTTTTTTCTTCATCCTTCTTATTAATACAGGAAGGGTGTATCAAGCTTCAAAAGGAAAGCAAATTAGCCAGCCGACCTCAGCAAGCTCGGTTGTCGAGTGGTAAGACGTCTGCATTAGTAAGCAGCAGGTCGTGGGTTTGGTCTTTCCCTTTTGTTGGGGGAAATACATGGAATGCATTTTTTTCCAACTGAGCAAGGCTAGGACAAGTACCATTAACTGAAGCCGGGTAATCAGCTGTCGTCAATAGCCCCATGACAATAACAGGGATTCAACTATGCTCTTATTGCATCCCTGAATGCACAGAATGAAAGGCTATCGCCCTGCAGAAATCCATACAGATGCAAAGAAACCAACACAATACACTACCTCAGAAAAATCCCTCTTGGTATTGCACAATACATGCAGGGAAAGCACCGACATAGATGAAAGCATGCGTCACTTTCACATGAATGTAGGAACACTTGTGTACGCCTTTCATATCCAAATAGGATATCGTGGGAATCATACATGTCAAGGCTCTCATAAGGTAAATGTATTAGGTCATTGTTTCATTAATTTAATATAATAACATCTATTATTGTTATTAATCACTCTTTGAATTAATCGTTAAGGGGAATACCCAGTACAAGCTTCGGCTTTTTGTCTGACCTCCCCATGCTATTATTTTAGGTTCCGTTAAAATTTGCCCAAATTTACAGTATTCAACTTACCTTATAGTATGGACATAAAATTGAAACTGAACCTGAACCTGAACCTAAAAAGACCAAATTCCAATATGATTTTTTTACCATACTGTGTAAAGAATCTATTTAAACAATTGCACCCTCCACAAAAAGTGTCGTTTGCAGCTATTTAGCTACAATGGAGTAACCAAAAAAGCACTTTTAAAATCAAACATGCATACATGTACACATACATGGTAGTTCTATTTATAATACATTGTATAATGCTAAATGCAGCAACATGCAACATCTGTTGAAATGACAAGCCTGTTCAGTGTAGCAAGATATCCATCATGTCAAAAGTCTCAAGGCCAAATGCCTCAGAGTCTGTGGTCACCGAATGCAGCAGGATACAACTGGTGCAAGTGGCTGCACTGTTTTCAACTTCTTAAAGAATCCAACATTTTTCAGTAGAAAGAAGAAACCAAAGCAAAACAATACAAAATAAAATCAAACATAAGCTTATACTTAATAGTCTAAAGATTATGCTTAATAGTCTAAAGCAGGGCTAATGCTCAATGCTCAATGTTTATTAAACGAAGTCAGGAAATCAGATCGAGGATTTTGGGGGATGTTGAGAAGTTGTAGTCCACGAATTTCAAGAGGGATGTGGGGTGGGGGCTCAATTGTTTTAATCAACCTCAAGGTTGATGTTATGAGCAACGAATTGAGCTTTGCAATCATGTTTGAGTTTGCACAATTGGACATTGGGGATTGTTTTCAGTTATGTTTAAACAACACTGTTTACTGTTTATATGAACTACAGAAAGCATAAGACCATGTGACCATAACAGATGGTTTTGACATTCACACAGGATACAAATTTCCTGATTGGCACACAGTCTCTATAGCTGGCACACATAATATAGCTGGGGACAAAACATGAAGAGTCTTAACTGAGTTGAAAACGACTACATGTTATTGGTTTTGAACATTTAACAGTTTAGATTTTGAACAGTCTTCTTTAAACTTCCAGTTGTGTTGTTGGAACTAAAACCATCAGCAACATGAATGAAAAGCTTTATAACATATGCCTTTATATTCGCATACCACCAGCCACTGTACTGGCTTTTTAGAGTGTTAATTAGCGGTGAGAATGATCAGTACAATAACACATAGCATGTATTCCAAAAGTAACATAATGGATAGGTATATAACAAACTTGCCTGCTGTCATTTGAGAAGTATGTAATGAATTTCCAACGATTGGTCCTCAATATGGAGTTCTATAGAAGACATCGCATTTCGTGATACCAAGAATGTTCATGGCTTATTTTTTTTTCAAGAAAAAACAAAGGTACTTTTACCGAGTTGAAAATGTCTACATTGTTTTTTCTTTATTCTTCTGATGATGATAACGGTGTCTCATATACCGAATCATTTATGTGAAAAGCCCACGACCATCCAAAAGATCACCACGATAATGGTCGTTACCATGACAAACAAAACACTGAGGAGACTGAGAACCAGCGCACTTTTCGAGGCACACTTTGCGCCTTCGATGTCTCCAGCTTGCAAACGTGGGCGCACCTATAGAAGAAAACCAAAAAAGCCAAAATTAAGATATTTTCACAGTATAACTTGTATGCCAAATACAGAGTGAGTAAAAAAAGAAAAGAAACCCAAATGGCAGGACCAGTTATTCAATGACCTTTTACTTGTAGCACTTTCAAAACATACGATACGAAAGCCTAGTCGTTAAGCTTTTTTTTTTTAGTACAAGAATCATTCAAATCACTCATGTGCTTTTCAAGTTACCGAATTGGGAACACAAACACCGTTTTCAAGTTCTGTCCACGGATCACAAAAGACGTAGGTGGTATCTCAGCAAAACGAAAATAATTGTCATAGGGATGCGTGTGAATTGTATTTCGTTTTGGCTGAAACACTTACCTTTTTGTGATTCGTGGACAGAACCTTTAAGCCGGTGTTTGTGTTCAAAATTCAGTAACTTGAAAAGTACATGAGCGATTTGAATGATTTTTTTGTACTAAAAGAAAGCCGATCAATTGGGCTTCTATCCTGCATTTTGTAAGTGCTAGACAGGCAAAACCTCAGTTAAAAATCGGTCCTGTCATTTGGGTTTGGATCGTTTTTTACTCGCCCTGTTTTATTGAATTTGGCAATTGTGATTCAGTACCAGCAGTGCCATATTTTTTTTTTCAATTTATATTAAATTCTGGTGAGATAAAAGTTGTTTAATACCGGTATACTGTAATTTTGTTTTGATAATAAAATGTATGATGATAGTATTTACACTGGTTCCCGCAGCATATTCGAATTAAACTATTCGGAACCAGCGCGTAGCTTCAAATATGTGTACAGCGCGCAGTGGACTGTATGAGCTCTCTAGATCACATTCTTTTTAAACAGAGCGATCAGACCGAAGCCTGCTATGGGAGCATACTGCTCCAGGTCATGAGGACGAGGTCGTCTATTCCTCGCATTCGAGCGATTCAAAATGCAGTGCTCCACGAAGAATTTGCCATGGAGAGTCCATTTTTCAAGTTTACGGTCGACAAAACAGTATCAGTAGACAACTTGAGTTAATTTGTTATAGATTGGGGCATAGCGTTCTGCCGCCTTACAATAAAAACCCCAACATGCTGGTAAAAAGGAAAGAAAAAGGGCAAACATAATTTATACTCGAATCATTCGCGTACGAAACTACTGACCGGATAAACTAACAATTTCAAATGTCCCGCGCTGCGAAATATTTTGTCGACCATCTCCCACAATGCACTGGGAAAAAGTCCTCTGCGTGGCAAACTCTTAGTGGTGGCGCACGGCATTGTTAATCGCCCGAATTGTACGATAAAACCTACCATGCAAGAAAAGACCAAGGCTGCAATTCCAAACACGGGGCAACAGTGCAGAGCAATGACGGCACACCCAATGTAATTCTCGACGACGACCGGGACGGGAACATCTACTACTGGCTGCATGGGCGCCACCTGTGTTAGGCAAACGACAATTCATGTTATAGATCAGCCTATTTCGTACACATTTGTGCCGGTTACGCAGGGGCCTGCCTATACTTCATTGACTCTTGACTGACTGACTGACTGACTCCCCAAATTTCAAGGATTACCAAATGTGAATCCAATTAACCCAGTAGCTATTTAGATATAGGCCTATCATTATACGCCCATCCGAGGGAACCATCTTCACCATATGTTTTTCATTGTGTAAAGTTTAGTCAAGATCTGAACATGAACACTTTCGAAAGTGCCGATTAGAAAATCGTGTGCAAAGTCTACGGGATTTAGGATAGAACAAGAATAGAAAAAAAGAAAGAAACAAATCAGAAGAAAAAGTATGGCTTTCCCGCCATTAATGGCGAACAAGCAAATTACATTGCATAAGCCTTCTAAATTTCCTGGCAGACTGAAGTTGAACTAGAATCAAGTAGGGCCTACTTACATTCGCGTAAAAAGTCTGAGGCTGAGAGCAAATGGCCGGTGTGCTACCTGGAGGTCCGCCGAAGTAAGGTGGGGGCGTGGCATGAACTTGCCCCGCTGGGGGCCCAGCAATGGGATGGGGCGTGGCATCATTCTCAAACCGTGTGTAACCTGAAAAACACATTTAAAAGAAGGAATCCGTAAGTGACGGTTCCTGCGTGGAGTAAAATATCAGGAAATTGTCAAATGACCGACAAGAATGCAAATTCTTTTGTTTTTGTCGTAGTTGCGCTGTTATTGCTCTAGTTGCTGTCGTCGTTGTTACATAAAAATTGTCTCGTGTAGGACCCTCAGTGTCTTTCAAGCTCTTCAATTGTGTACAAATTATGGCAGCATAAAAACTTTTATTCAAACGTACGTTTAAATTTGACACTCCCAAATGAACAGGCGAAATCTGCCTTAGGTTTGAGTTCTGTCTCTTGGCCAAGCCCGTGCGTATAAATCTGCCAATTAATAATAATAATAATAATACCGAAATCTTATATAGCGCACGTATCTACCAACAATTAGGTACTCAAGGTGCAGGAAATTATGTCTATTATTAGAGTAAATGAAGTACATGAGAAATATGAGAACCATTATGTATAGCACCTTTACAAGGTGCTGCGGCGCATTAAGCAGCCACTGCCAGAAACACCGGGGCAAACCCCTTCTCTTGGCGATAAGTGTTACTGGGTTCTTTAACGTGCATTACACAACACACGGGACCTACGGCTTCACGTCCCATTCGAAGGACGAAGCAATAATGGTAAAGTGCCTTGCTCAGGAGCGCAAGCACCGTGTTCCCACGGTCAGGATTCGAACCCGTGTACCACGGCACACGAGTCGAACACCGTTACCATTGGACCACAGCAACCCACATTCCGGAAAGAATGTTGCAACCTGACGATGCTTCTTTTCTTCACAATCTCACTGAAGGTCAGTCATTGCAAAAATGATGATTAAACATGAATCTGGGACTGCAAAAAGAATTCAATTTTGTTAGGAAGTGCTTAGATAATTTTCTTGACTCTCCATATACTTTGTACACAACCGCTGAAGTAGCGTCAGGTTGTAACATTCTTTCCCCAATTCTTCCATGATCAGACGAAGTTAGTCCTTACCTGTTGCCATTTTTTTTCAGTTTTTTTCCAACCGTTCAGAGCATAGACGAAACACTCCCTGTCCGGTGCGCTGCACTCTGGTTTATGGTAGGCCAAATTCACTGGAATGTTGAAATGTCCAGAGCACGTTGTGCCAGAGCACGAGAAAATGTGTCATCTTTCTGGCAGGAGTTTCATTGCGAAATTGTGAAAAAGTCCCTACTGGGGAAATCTCTGTTCTCATAAGCACGAGACGGTGATACATAAGATTCAACAATGGGCAACTAGAGCCCTGCTGTACACTGTCAATAGAAGCGTACCCGCCACCACCATGCACCATTTGTTGTCGATTATTGATGCAAATATGGCATTAACCATGCCACCAAAAGGTCAGAATGGAGCTGAAAAGGGTGCGCCCCTGCATTGACATTCCCATAGAGACTAGTGCTAAATGTGCATACTTCAAATTTCAAAATTCTTTTTAAAATACTCAGAACTCTCACAGGTATTTAAGCTGCACAGAAAAATGATGATCATCGTGTCAGCTTTCATTCACTTTTTATTTTTTGGTGGGTTGACCATTGACTTTTCGAGGAATTCTCACCCAAAGATGACGACCCCTAAGGGGCCGTTCACAATTATCAACATTTTCACAAGTGTACAAGAGGACACTTTTTCAAGACCCCCCCCCCCTCCCCCCTAAAAGTGTACGGAAAAAATGTTGATTTTTTTCACACAAGTCTATATATAGACACTTGCATGTGATTTAAAGGGTTTTTGTAACTTTTGTAGATCAAGTTTTTGGCCATGACATGAACCCCTATTCAGTGTGAACGAAGATGTATGTATTATAATTTACCTGTAGAAGTTTCAGCTTCATACAATGTAAGTCGTGAAGTTTTTGAGAAAAAAGTGAAAATCACAGAGCTATTTTTTTTTCAGGAGAGTCGCGTAAATCCGTTGTACATAATTTTTTTCTCATGAGACGAAAAAAATTTGCGTGAAATTGTTTAACTTGTTTCTCAAAACTCCATGTATTTGTTGGTCGGATTCTTGTGGACAATACATCCTTGTCGAATGAGGAATTTCAACAATTGATCCAAGTCAACGGCGCGGCTAGAATATTTATTGTCCGCCATTGCTAGTGCGGTGTTGTTCAACAGGTGTAGCGTGAATATCCGACTCCATGAAATGTGGACTCATTGGTAGTAGTGCGAACGCGTGAGTACAATACTATGCTTTTTTTAGGATCGTTTGGGGAGAGTGACCTGTCACGTGCGAGGGATTAACCAATAAAAGGGAAAAAGGGGTCCGATTTTCATAGGAGTCGGATTTTCATGTGACACCGGCCGTTAAAAACACGCAGTGGATACGGACTATACATGTACATGTACAGTACATGTACATACAGTACATTTCCATGTAGGATGGAACGCCGTATTATCGCGGTACTTATCACGTTTCTCGTTCGGAATAGAGATTGCCCACTAACCTTCCAGAATTATCCTGTCTTATGTGTAGTATAACTCTTCCTTTTTAAATTAATATAAAAAAATCTGACGGGTGGTGTGGTTTATTCCGTGTACGATGCCTGTGAAAATAGACATGCGCGGCGTGTGCGAACGGAGGTGGACTCCCTATTATCGCGGTATGCGGGAAATGGTTTTTATAATGATCCCAACTTTTTTGTTCATAGTTTATCTTTGACCAAAACACCCCCTGAATAAAGTCTGATATTTTCCCTGTAACGTTCAAGTTGATTAAAGACAAAATGTCTGCAGGATGATTTCTTAAGACCCTGCCCTTCCCCCGAAAGGAGAACACAAATCCCTGAGGCAAGTCTACTGATCGGCGATTGAGGGCGCCATTCACTTAACAAGGTGTGCCGTTTTATTTTCGCTAACGCGCGGTGCTTATTTTGATCCCGTAAAAGTTGTTACGATTTCGCGCTGCAAATATCGTCGTTCGACTTCATTTTACATTTGCAGCTGAAGAATGGGAACCAGACAATGGAACTTTCGTGGACAGAGTGCAATTAAAGATTTATGTTAAAATATGAACGGTACCTTTTAGCAGACACGGTGAGGGAAATTTTGCAAGTTTTGGAAAACGTTAATATTTATTAAAATCGTTAAAAGTCCCAAAAGACACAACATTTTTTAATCGTCCTTTTTATACAACTCGGTAGAAAATCCTTGATGACTGGTGAACTGGATAAAAATCGCCACTTGAAGGAGTTTTGACACTGTAAAAAGAGAAATTTCCCATGCCGCGATAATAGGGATGCCGCGATAATAGGGAGTCCGACTATACATGTGTAGGACAATGCTGTACACAATACGTTCATGGGATGCAATGCGGGGCCTGGCGCGGGGCGCGACTGGCTCGGCAAGTGCTCGATCGGCATCGGTTGCGGCTGTCGGCTGCGGCGACGGGCGAGAAAACATATCGACATTTAAAAAAAATACGTACGGCGGCCATTAACTCCCCCCCCCCCATTGTATACGGTTTATACGCTCGTGAAAATGTTGATAATTATGAACGGCCCCTAAGTAGCCATCTGGAACGATCCCTCCACAACTGACATCATGGCAAAATGGTGCCACTTTGAGCTCAATTGCATCCAAAATGCTCAGAATTGAAAGCCTAATATGCCACAAATGAGACACATCCCTAGATTGATTTTAATCTTATATCCGTATTTTATTGAAACATGCGCCCAATTTTTTTTTTTTTTTAATAATTTTTTACAGTTAATGTTAAAAAGGTTGGTTGTTACTCAGTAACTGAAGAATCAATTAATAAAAAACCACAAAATAAGCACATACGACACCAGGATGTTTCTTTTCTTACTATACAGGATGAGTAAAAAACACGAAACCCTTATGCTGGGACCATTGTTTTAGTGAAGTTCTGCATGTAGCACTTTCAAAATCTAGGATATTAAAGCCCCTTTCATAAGCTTTCTTTTGGTACAAGAATCATTCAAATGTCTTTTGTACTTTTCAGTTACGTAATTTTATACACAACCGCCGTTTTAAGGTTCTGTCCGCGGATCACAAAAAGTTCAGTGTTGTTTCAGCAAAACGAAAAGAAATCACATAGAGATGTGTGTGAATTGTTTTCGCTTTGCTGAAGTAACATAATCCTTTTTGTGATCCACGGATTAATTTTATTCAATTAATTTCCATTAATGAAATTGGCTTTCCAGCCATTATTATTTTTTGGTGCAACATATTTGTTTAAATATGAAATACATATTTTAATTTTTTTTTGGTTTGGGTTTCGCGTTTGTTTTACTCACCCTGTACATGTATATAGTACATTAACAATAATGTTGTGCATATCATTGATTATTGTTATGTTTTCCTGAAGATTGTAAGGCCCCCCCCCCAAAAAAAACCCCACAACAACAAAGAAACTAATAAAGGTACAGACTGAATTCAATACTGGACAAACTCAAGCTAAATTTACGATTACAGTCGGTGTTATTTTATTCAATATTGGCAAATTCAGATTAATACCTATATACACATTTATTTAAAGAATAACAATTTGCAATTATATATCATTGAACATTGGGCAAAATACAATATTTTGTAAAGAATATTATTATTTCAAGTATGAAACTTATCGCATAAGGGTTCTGACAAAATTAACAATGGTCTTAAAGTAGAAAATACCCTTTTGAAAAATTATATATATATATATAAAACAATTACCTATTTAATACAAATGTATCGAAAAATATGCATACAGATTCTCACGGACGAATAAATATTTGGTAAACAAATCTGCGTTGGCCTTTACAGTATTCTATACGGAGATTTTTATTTTCTTTCCTTATACCTGCAAATCCTCATTTCGATCAGACCGCTTCACATTTATCCCACAAGTAAGTTACCGAATTATTGTCAAAAGCTTTGAGTTGGGTTAAAGATCTTGTTGGTACTATTAAAATGTCCTCTGGGTTGCTGTCATTTTAAGAAGAATTCAAAAAAGGTGAGGGCTTTCAAACGATCCGTCAAG